CCTGTGAGGCAGGTAATGAGCCTTAGTTGTTACATTTCCTCTGTGGCACTTCCCCTAGCTCTGGCCTTTGCCCTTCCCCATGCAGACCAAGGAGGACATTTATCCCCTACCTTTCCTAGGAGAGACAAGGAGAGAGACAAAGCTTTTATATTATATTATTATATTTATATTACATGACTTCAAAAGCATGAGAAATCATATAGCTGGGTTTTAAAAATACTTGAGTGATTAAAGATACAAATAAGTATTTTTGAAAAATCCCCAAGACTCTGAAGAGAAACCTAAGTGAATTCCTCTGGGATTTTTTAAAAAAAGCCTGAAGACCCATCAACTAAAAAAAAAGGAAAAAAAATGTACTAAATACTTTATCCAGGACAAATCTATGAGAGATAATCTATGCCAGAAGAAGGAATTATTGCAGGTGTCTTAAGCCCAAAGCTAGCGCTTTCCCTGCTGAGCTGTCTTTCCTGCTCCTGAGGCATCATAATGATCACTCCCCATCCAAAAATATGTATCCGAGTAGGGGGTAATTGAACCTTCATACTGCATGAGGGTCTCAGACTTGTTCCTCACCGTACTCAGTTACCTATGCTGCTCCTAACTACCTGCTTTTCCCTGACTAGTGCCAGCTATTGCGTAGACCATCCCCTGCAGCTGCCACCCAAGGTTTGAGGCAGAACAGTCTCTTTTGGTGCCCCGTGACCTTTCCATGGAATGGAGCCACACAAGAGCCAGGTAGCCCCAGGCCTCCCTGCTGTGGAGCTGCGGAGCCCCTTCCAGTGCACGTGGCAGGGAGCGGAGGGGAGGCGTGTGGCTGCCGGCAGCTGAGCTTAGATTCAATCTTAGTCCCTTACTCGAAACCGCATCCGCTTGCACGTACCTGCCCGCAGTGCTGGTGCCTCGTGCCTGCCCTCTATGCAGCTCCGAGCGCCTCCCTTGGCTTTATGCGTCTCGGTGACTCAGCCAAGGAGCGTGAAATGTCTCTGCTTGGTTCCCGGCTTTCCCTGCTCAAGCTCTGCCCACAAGTGGAGGCGAGGTTTGTTCCAGGCCTGCTCCCCCGCACGCAGCTTCCCCCTGCCCGAGGGGGGGCTCCAGGCAGCTTTCTGTGCTCCTAAGGCGAGGAGGTGGGAGGGCTCCTGCTTCCCAGCACCCGCTCCCCAGGCAGGGCTTCTCCTTTCTCTGTGGCCAAGGTGAGGGGTAAAGGGAAGGGTCAGCAGCTCTTGTCCCAGCTCTCACGTCTTCCCTGGGTGAGGGGGGAGGAAGGGGAGATTGTGGAATTATTGTTTTTCTTTACTGACAGGTCACGAGGATACAGAGTTAAGGCTCTGTCTGCTGACATGGGCTTTGATAACTCTGTAGACGCCAATAAAAGGTTGGCTTCAAGTGTTTGCCTTTCTCTGTAACAGTCTCACACTTGGGAGTAAGTGCTGGAAATGCTCAGCCGGGTCAGTGGCTCTTAGCAGATCCGTCCCTCTGACGAGGCCCTCGGGAAGTAGCAAAGGCAAAGCTCTCACCTGCCACCCCCACATAGAGGAATTTCCTTGACTGATTGCATGTCCCAGGGCACCCGAGGGACTCCTGCTCGCCTGGGAATGCCTGCACATGAGATCGGTTCTCAGCTCTGCATCTGCCCTTCGGAGCTGCTTGGGGACCATTCCCTTCCCACTCCTTCTCGCATCTGTAGTTGGCTCAGTCAGAGTGACAAGGGAAAATGCCCCCCACTGAGGGACATGCTGGAGCTGAGTCTCCAGGCATTACCGCAATGCGAGCAATATGCAGGCAGGTCAAAAGCTGCGAGGAGAGCCTGGGACAGGGAAGGTGGGAATAGGCAGGATCTGTCCCAAAGGGGAAGCCCTAGCAGGGATGTTCAGTTAAGGCAATGAATTATTAGAGTTTCCAGGGAGAACACTGGTTGATTTTTTTATTATTTATCAGGAGGACATAACACATCTATGACAAGAAGGCAAAACAGACCTGTATAGTGGGGTGATAAAGTGCAGATAAAGGTCTTGCTTTCCTAAAAACCTTGAGACTACATGTACACTGACCTTATCTACTGACCATGTCATTCGTTATCTGTGTGGGGAAGGAACCTTGAAAAACACCAGAACACCCACAGAACAAGATACGGTCCTTTAGTAGGACTCTCTGGAGCCATGGCGGTTCCCCCCGAGCTTGGCTGGGATGTACATGCTGTTCCCTTGTAGAATGGCTCTCAGGCAAGACAAATAGTTCCCTAGCTGAGGGCCTAATCCTGCAGATTAGCGCTGGTGGAACGGCTCGCGGGTTGTGCTCGGGCAGCATGCCGCCCGGGGCGTGCGGCTGCACAGGAGGCTTCAGTGCCGAGTTCACTGGGCAAAGCTGAGCACATTAAAAATTTGGAAGAACTTGCTGCAGGCGCAGACGGAAGGAAAGTTTAGCCCAAGCCACGCTGGTGGAAACCCTGCCTTTCTGCGGCCTTTGCTGTGCTCTTGGCTTCAAATCCTTTCCACGGAGGAGGGCTCATTCTGCTTTGGGCTATGAAGTCTCTGTGTTGTGTTTGCTGCTCTGTGCTCGGTATTTACATGCAGTGATTTTTTTCTTATTTTTTTTATGGTCTTTAATCTCTTAAAAATCTGTTGCATGAGACCTGGTTAGCCACGTTCTGCCTTGGTCTTCACATGTGCCCCGTGTTCCCTGTGGAGGTTCTCACAAGCCATGTGAGGACCAGGAAAGCAGCCGTCAGTCAGCAGTTGGCCCATCCATTTCAGCGAAGGTGGAAATGACTTTTCCCAGAAAAGCATGATTCTGAAGGAAATAGAGAACATCTTTTAAGAAGTAGAACATTCTTGGAAAATGAGATTCTGTTGTATTTATTTCCCACTTTTTTCCCCACTGCATTTTGGGGCAGGCTTGTATTTTCCTAGGCTGTGGTATGGCTCTTTGCCTAGCTGCAAGCTCTGATCAGTTAAAATACTACCAGGTACCAGACTGGTACCCCTTCAATACCAGATTCACCAGGATGTTGGTGAAGGCTTCCCAGAGCAGTGCCAGCTCCCTCCTACCGAGCTGTTTGAAGTCTCATCAGGCAGGAGAACAGCTCTCTTGCGTGTCGCCTGTCTCAGTCTTGTGTCTCTCTGTTTGTTCACATTATCCCTCCGCTTTTTCTACTTCTCTAAGGGTTTCAATGTCAACCTGTGGGAAGATTTAGTGAAGGCAGGTGGTTTTGTCAGCCTTTTTCTGCACGGGTGATGTATGTAGCGCTAGAGCTAAACCAGACGCCCCCTTCCCGGAGCTGGTTCAATGCTGCACAAAACCCCTCCTGCAGCAGAAGCAGGCATGCTAGGGATGATCTGCATTCCTTCATGACACTGAGATAACAGAAACACGGAGAGAGCAGAGGGCGAGGATGGTACCAGGCTATAAAGTTTGAGAGATGAGTGTTTCTTGTTGGCCGTGATCCATGTCTTGTGATGGCTAATAGAGAAAACATCCTGAAAAATCTGGAGAATAGCTTTAAAGCAAATGAAAGGAAAAAAAGGTTTACAGGTCAGTCACGCCCCAGAGCAAGTACAAACAAGACATTTTCCTGCAGCAAACAGGGAGGCAAGGAGAGAATGCAAGAACAGGATTATTTAGCCCGAGGTTTTAGACAACCACAGGGTGTGTGCGTGTCTGTTGCGGCGATGCCCTGGGAGTGAGCAGCGAAACCCTGCAGAATTTGTTGGGAGTAGGAGCAGGCAAGAGCTCTCCAACACTCCAGACATTTTACCTGTTTTCTTTTCTTTTCTTTTCTTTTTGCTTTAATTAAGCACAACATAAAAAATAGAGTGCCAAGGTACTAGTATCCTAAAATTTTTTGTTTTCATCTAAACTGCATTCCTGTCTAGGATTGTGTCTCAGCACTTGAAAATGCCTCTCTCCCCTTTGAAGCCGCTGTTTCATTTCAGGGCAGATGCCCTGCATCCTCTCGCTCTTTAAAGTGTCTATCCCCCATCTGACACTGTGCAAATAATAATGTCACTAAAGACCACTGAGCCTATCACCTTTCCCCTTATTCACAAATCAGGTGGTATGAGCAAGCAAAGCCACCTTTAAGGGGGTGGTCACAGGAATAAAGCAGGGTGTGGTGTCCTGGGAAGGGGAAGGCCTGGAGCTTGGCCAGGATGTGCTCAGTGCTATGGAGGGGATGAAATTCGACTGAGTGCTGGAGGGGGGCGGGCCTGGGTGCCAGGCCCAGCAGGCCTGGACAGGCCTCTCCCTGCTGCAGGAGCTGCCAGCTGCATCCAGCAGATGCTGCAGCAGCCCGGAGTTGTGGGGAGCAGCAGCACCCTGGCTTTTACCTTCCTCTTCCAACTTCTGCAGGGGTTGTACAAGAAACAGAACTAAGGCCACTGGCCCCAAGGCCAGTAAAGCTGTGGAAAATATCAAGCAGCCCAGCATGTACCCAGTGCCCTTGAATTGCTGGGACTTGCTGTGCAGGATGACATTGTCCTGGCCCTAGCTCAGAAGGTCTGACGTCTTCAAAGTAGCACCTCTCAGCTCCTTTCACTGCTGAATCATTTTCCTTGGGATGAAAGTGTGACCTCATGCAGCATCACAGGTGGGTGGATAAAGATATATGTGTGGTAGCCTCTTGATTTTTAATGGATCCTATTCACACAACTGAAGGTAGGTTCCACTGAAGTGTGTTACATTTGTGAATGATCATGTAATCACTACTTGGGATTTGAAAGCTCTGATGAAATGTTTTCTGTTCCCAGCACAAATGTTAGACAAGTAACATAGCTTTAAAAAAAGTATTTATTCAGCTTTAATTCTGTTTAAACCTGAGACATGCTAGCCAGTGCTATTTGCAGGGTTGTAACAGAGAACAAAATCTGTACATCCTTGTTCCTTGTTCTAGATACAAAAACAGATTGTTACTATTAAAAATGCTGGCCTTGGAAATGCCCAGAGGCTACCTACCTTTCTTTTGAAAAGTTCTAGCCGTACAAAGGAGTCAATTTGCCCCAGTTTTGATGATGGAGCTGCCATACTCCATCCAGTGACCTTGGCTTCAATATTTTATGAAGAAGATGGAACTAGTTCAGTCATATTGCAGGACTGTAGCATACAGTATATTTATTAGCCAGCAGTTAACCATGAGTCCTGTTTAATCTCTGGTCCTTTTAGCTGGGGGAAAGAGGAAGGGCTTCCTTCACCTTATTCCTGACCTCCAGTTAATTTATGGAACAGATCTTCATCCAATGCTTCATTTTGGCCTTTGGAGCGGGTTGACAAGAAGATGTAGCCCCCAATATACTCATGGATGATTTTGCAGTCTGCACTCAGACATGTGAAAGCAATATACATATTCTGATCAAACTCAATCGTAACCTAAAGAAAAGATACATGGCAAAATCAGTAACAGAGATAAACTAAAAATCTTTTTACCTGACAGGAATCTGAGAAAAAGAGTGAGTGTAAGAGCAGCTAGACCAAAAATACTGTGAGAAGCCAGGACTAGCTCTGCTAACAGAAGAGCTGTAAAGATTTTGGAGTCTGTAGTATGTTGGGGGTCTTTGGCTGGTTGGTTCTCCACTTCCCGCTGTGGCAGGGCCCACACATGGTTAACATTTTGCTGCATGTTTTGGAAGCCAACAAGACAAAGCTTTTTACCAGATTTTTTCTCGTGGTATGTATGGAGTCCTTGTAAACACACAAGTAGGAACACCGAAAATGACAAGAATGTCACTCCTGCTTCTTTGTACACTTACCCAATAGTGTTTAATACCATTCCTTGTTGTGCACTAACATTAAATCTGATTTTGAGGGGGTCAGTTTTGAATTTCACTACTGTCAGTTCTAAAATCCAGCAAACTAGGGCTAGATGCTACTTGTGGATTCTGCCTTTTTTGACAGTGATTTAACATAAAAACAAGAGCTTTACCAACACATTGTAGGCACAGAGCAACATGGGTACTAGAGCAATATGGGTTTTATCTTCTCTCTCCTGCCTCCTGAAGATGCATGTACAAATTTTATAAGGAACAATCTCCAGGCTGCTTGAATTTATGTCAGGTCACACTAGATGACTAGATTTGCAAAAGCAGCTTCAAATTTTCAAACCCAAACTGAGTAATAGTTGGCTGCACTGACCAAACTTTATCCGAGACCAGAAGCACCAGGATATAAATTACACCTTGGAGCTCTTCTCTTAGGATCACAAACTGAAATAGAGGAACTTGCACCATAGACTTGCAGTCTCAGCTTGAGATTTACAAGGCAAGCTGGGCTCCTGTAGTCTCACCACCTAGCACCACTACAGTTTAGAGGATGATGCACAAGTTAGACTGTGCAAAGAACAAAATGAAATTTTTACTAATGGAGCAGGAAATGTACACTGGAGTGGAATTTACCTTTAACTCTCCGTATTTCATCCCATCAAAATCAGAGGAAAGTTATTAAAAATAAACCTGATAGATACATTTTAAATTGGAGATCTTTTAGTTTTTGAACTTTAACTACAAATTCCATTAAAACAAAATTAAACAGCAGATTATTTAATAATCTATCATAACACATTCCAAATCCTTTCACTCTGAGGCTTAAAAACATTTTATGAAAGCATCCTGCAGTGTCTCAGATGTAGTGACTGAATGCAGAGAGCCATTGCAGTGTTACCTGGCGTATTTCCCAGTTCACATTCCATTGCTTCATGTTGGAGAACCTCCATGTTGTGATAGGGTCTCCCGTGGCTGCATCTATCCGTATGAGCCTGTTATAGGACACTCCAAGCAGGTCATCCTTCTTGCTTCCTTTAAACCTGGAAAAAAAATAATCCCAAAACCTCTTAGAAGATTAAGTTTGCAATATTTTTTTTCTACAGAAACATTTCATCTGCCCTTCTATGCAAGGGCAAAAATGCGGGAGACTGAGGTAGTCACAACTAACACGAAGATGCTTCCCTGTCACCCAGTAACAACAGCCTGGAGTTGAGGAGAGGTTGGATCCTTCTTCAGAAAAATATTCATTAAAAGGTAAGAATATAGCCTGGGAAACCATGGCAAAAGATACAAAAAAAGTAGCAGCTAGGTCTATCTGAAATCTTTGCAAGTCATTGTTTTCTGCTGAAAAATCCATTTCTGTCAAAGTGCTGATAATATTTATTATTTTGATCCTGTTTTTGAACCCTCTGTCCTTAAGTGAAGCTGGCCCAAGGGAAAGAATGTGACCTGGCCTGCAATCTGTGAACTCCCCTGAGATTCTGCCCATCGGTTTGTAAAATTCACAACATGTTTTGCACATGCTACAGCAATCACGCTACTGCAGTTTAGATTTTTTTGCAGAACTGCTGCTGACAGATGGGACAAAATATCTGTATCTGTTAGTAAATTAAATCATGTCAGGGAACATTCCTGGGCACTGAGTATAATTGCCTGTTCTGTTAAATTGGTAAAACAGTCCTGGGTGCAGTTCTGGCCCCAGGTGAGCTGTGCTCTCCCAGATGGCTCCTGGTACAGCTCAGGAGTTAGGACCCAGTGACCAAGGCAAGTTGCTGGCTTGTCCGGGGCTGTCGGCTTTGGGGCAAGTGGAGAGTTTAGGGTACGAACGTGAGCTGTTCTGTGCCAGATGACCTCTGAGCCAGAGACACCACAGAGGCAGCCACTGACTTCTGAGTTGCCCTGAAAGAGAAGCTGAACACAAAGTAAGGAAGGTGCCCCCAAGTGTGGCTGTATCAGAACCTGCCAAGTTTTCTGACGTTTTGCCAAGTGAAGAAACTGTGGCCTGGACACTGTGTAGAATTGTGCTGTATTCCAGGCAGTGTCTGGGGGAGCTGTTATGAACAAAGCAGGATCTTGTGCAGACAAGTGTCCAGATTAACCTAACTGAGAGACTGTGCTTGCTACTTAGTTCTTTTATTTCTTAATGAAATTCCAAAACAAATATGCTCAGCATAAAGTGTTGACTCTAATTCCAATAAGCAAGAAGCTGAGTGAACAACTGCACTGTAACCTGAGAACACCCACAGGATTTGCATATTCTTACATTTTAGTGAATTTATATCAATAAGGATTTAATTCTACTGATATGTTACTTCAGGCAAAACCCAAGAGGCTTGTATGAATGTAGGCATAACAGATGGTCTTGCTTCAGGAATGGAGCTACTGAGTGCTACTTCCATGGAAAAAACAGCAGCATGCAAGTTACTAGAAATAAAAAGGTCTTTGGGAAATAGTAGGAGAATGTTCCCAGAACTGAGATTCAAGGAATTTCCTGAAAATCACTAACCGTGAACACGTCATGGCAGCTTAACGTCGCTGCAACACTGTGATTACCTTACAATGTAGTAGGATAAGCCAAACTCGGGGAGGGACTGCCATGTTTGAATGAAACGCAGCTTGGCCTCCACTAGGGACATCTGGGCTACGTTTTGGTGGGCTTCCATAATACGAGCAGCCAACTGGGAAATACAGGAAGAGAGAAAGATTTCAGTGGACTGGAGAATAAAAGAATCCTTGCTTTCACTAAGTCAAACAGTATTAGCTCTGATGCCATGTTTAAATACTTAATGCTCACTGTTCAAAGTGAACATTCTGGAGATCACATGGGGAAGGATCCTGAACTAATAGGGAGACTGCAGCAGGAAGGTCCCGCTACCTGGTTTTGTACTGGATCCTGCTCCAAGATGCTGTTAAATGATCTTGCCCTGTTTGCTGCCCAGAGGCCCTGTGTGTGCTGGGAAATCAGGATTCTCTAGCCATTCCCTAGCCATTTCCCCACTCTGGCTGCATCAGTGCCACTGGGCCACAAGGAGGAGGTGGTGTCCCCAGGGCAAGGCCTTCTCTTGGCATCGGGTTTACTGGAGGCTGCCATGCCCACCTGCTGCAGATCTGCTAGGGTTACCAGTCAGATCTGGCCCTTGGTTCACTGTTAGCCAAAGCAGCAGCAGACTTCCTAATTGCAAATTCACTACTATGGATATTCTGATCTCGGCTACCCTGCAGCAAGTTTGTTCTCATGCAGAATCTATGTTGTCCCAGGCTAGATCTCTTTTTTAATCTTGTTTTTGGTTTTAATCTTGTATTTGCCTCCTGATGCAGCGGCCTCTTCTGTGCTTGTTCCAGGTTGTGTCTGTCTGTTGCTGCTGACTGGCTGTGCTCCTGGTGAACAACCCTGCTGGAATGTTAAATACGCCGTAAGGAGCAGTTGGAGCACCAGGGAGATGGACTTTCGGCAGCCTCTGGTGGGAGGGCACCTTTGCATGTGAGTGGGGGAGGAAGCTCAGGGTCGCCCTCAGTATTCTCTGTTAATGGTCCCTTCGTTACTCATTCACACATCTTGCAAGCTCTAGGCACCATGCACTAGCTAGACACAAACCTGCTCATGGTAACAAAGGTTCCCTTTGCTAAATAACAACTTACTGCTGCATCATTTATCTAGCCCAGAAAGCGGGCTGTGAGTCCACTGCAGTGATTGCAGCTGCCCCCTTCATTAGGGCACTGACAAGGAGATGATGCCCTTACGGCAAAAGCAGTGGGCAAAGACTAAAGTGGAGAGGAGGAGGGGTGCCCAGGCCAAGAGGGCAGGAAGACCTCTGTATTTAAGATGCAGACAGTATCTTCCCTTCCTTAAGAGCCGTCCTCCTTTGTTTTGAAGAGACTTTCAGGTACAGCACTGTCATGAAGGCAATTAGTTACTTAAGAGGCAGTGTGGATGTAGGAGTACTTGGACAAAGCACAGAGAGAGCGGTCACTGTCCAGTTTAAAGAAAAGGCCCCCTGCTAAATATCAAAGGGGCAAGTGCATTGCAAGATGATTGCGGAATCCTTGTGTGGTTTCCAAATGCTGCCTTGTCCCTACTGCATTGTCTGTCTGGTCTCTGGAATCACCCATCCCCAACTGTAACAGCCATGCTGACTGGGGTTACCTGCTTGGGCTTATATTTTTTTGTATAACGTAGTGACACAAAGCATTCTGGTTTCATGTCCATGCCTTCTGGGTCGGAGACAACCTGAGCAGACACTGTCCAGTTCTTCAAGTTCAAAAACGAAAGGATCTTGTGGACCTCAGGACGGTAAGAGCTATCAGCCATTGTTTTGCCCTTTGAAGCTAAGTTGCAAGCAGCCATCCAGTGGGCATATTGATTCTCCTGCAACAAATACATTTCTTGATATATATGGTTGGTATTTTTGGAGGAATCTTTTATGAAGATGGTTACTGCTCAAACACCTCGCACAGTGAGATAAAACAATTTTGGAGATGTTCTTCTTCATTTGGGTGGATGTATAGGTAATATGGTACCCTTACCCTTCCCTAATAGGGCTATTTCCATGTACAGGATTAACTTTGCGGAATACTTAGGTTTTAGAGTTTTGAAGATGCTTACCTTCAGAATGCTCCCGCGTTCATAAAAAGCAGATGTTTAGTTATAAAATGTCAAAGAAATCTTATGGTGGAACTCTATTCTAATTAATTGCAGAACTGAGATTGATGTAAAAATCTTGAAACAAATTTAAGATCCGTATTATATTACCTTTGTTCCAAGGGAAAGTTCCAATTAAGAGAAACAAAGAGAACAATAACCAAATCTCAATCCTCTGAAAACACTGAAAAAGGATTTAAAATATTTTGTTGATTCCCATTCCATCCCCTAATACTTTTTTTTCTTTCAACAGCTGTACTTGGAAACTGATGATGAACTTTGAATTATTGCCCCTTTACCCCCTTATCCATTAAGTATTTGTTAGTCTACCACATCTTGCTTATATTCTACTAGACATGTAGATTATGAAGTCTTTGGGGCACCCTTATTTATATGTACAATTTTTAGAACAGTAGGATAATGGATTTCCTAGGCAATCTATTAATATATCTGGAACACAGACTTTCCATTCTGTCTTATTACTCACGTTATCACATCTTAAATATACTTCATTCATGCCATCAGCAACAGGAATTAGTAATTTGATTCCAAACTTCTTCCCTGCAACATTTACGTCTGGTACAACTTCACATCCTAGATTATGGAGAATCACAAGGAAATGGATTTATTTAATTATAATGTCACTAATTTTAACTAGTAGTATAAGGACAAACAACAGTAACTATTGGTTGTTTTGCTTTGAAATTGAAGGCCAAGACTTTCAAAGATTGGGCCTAAACAAAGTGCTTTGTTCTACTAGAACACTGCCTGAGTTGGTCTGCCAGGGTGATGAATGCTTTGAGAGGAATGCTCCGAGCTGGAAGAGCATGTGGTTCAGAGTGGAATACAAAAGGGCGAAGGATGCAAACTCTCTCAAAACCGCTGCTTAATCTTGGGAAATGCTCAGCACCTACAATGGACAGGAGTTGATGAGATAGGTCTTTCTGGAAATTTTTTTTTACTTGAAAGCTTGGACTCTATTTTCAGAAGAAAGCTGGTACTGAAAATGGGCTGTTGGTGTCATCTATGCAGGACTGGCCAGTTCAGGGATGCCAGAGAACTCTGGAGACCTGGTATTTCAATGTGGCTGGAGCTGCTAGAGGCTTTCTGCCTTCGTCTAGAGTCACAAATGCCAGTGATGCCCCTTTGTGAGAAGTGACACCAAAGCTGTGGGTTTCTTGTTCAGGTTCCAGTCACGTTGACTAGTTTTACCATGCATTCATCTGGCCTACTGAGGATGTGCAGGCTGATATGCAGAGCCATTTGTTCACAAGGGTCAATCTTCTTTCTATGTCAGAGATTTCTTCTAGGATGAATCCTGAGCATCACAGGTTGCCTGATGCTGAACATATGATGTTCCTGCAGGAGTAGATGTAGATGGAGGCTATATGTAGTGCTGGCATCTGCCTTGTGTACACCCAGGGTTTCTTGTGCAGTACCCTGAAGCTGGGGTGCAGCTAAGAAATTCCTCATGTGTGAAACAAAGAAGGTCCGGAGAGCAGATTCGGAGCTGTCCCTTCACAGCAGTGTATAGGTGCAACCTACAATACTCCTGTCTGTGACATTATTCGTAATCCTCTGCCACCATTGGGATTTTGCCAGATAGAGGTGCATAAAACACAGATTAGAAACACTTGAAAATGCAAGTGTCACATGTAGATCATATTCTCTATCTGATTCATCTTTAAGGGAATTCAGTGGTATACAGCATTTTACAAGTCAGGTCCAGATAAGCTTGGTTTGAATAAGGTATTCAATCCTTTTGGTTTGGCCTCTCCTGCAGACAAGGTCTGCCTGCTTAACAGTAGCAGAAAAGGTTTCAGAACCAAACGCTACTGCTTTTTCTTCCTGAGTATCACAGGGACTTCTTGATTTACTCAAATCATGAATGCAACAAAACAAGTAGAGAAAAAGAAAGTTCCTACCTTTTAGGTTTAGTTTCTCAATAGGTTCTCCCTGCCCAGATTCCTCATTTTTAAAATAAGATATTGAAGTGTCTTTAAAAACAAACCAGTATTGCTTGAGGGATTTCAGTGACAGCCTCTTGGGCCTAAAAGAACAAATGAATTGCATGTATTTATATTGAAACATACTTATCACTAAGTCGTTCACAGATATTGCTAGAGATTTTGAGTTTCTTTGAGGTCATGTACACGTGGCATCAATTCATGGACACGTGGCATGCAATTCTCCCTAATATTGTTGCCTATCTGAAAGGAATCTTTCCTAGCATGCTACTGTGGTACATCGGGCAAATAAATGTTCATTCTACAAATACAACTAGCAGTACAACATGCAGAACTTTACCTTTAGGGTTATAATTAAATATTTTCAGTAACAATACGCTGTTGTTCCTTTCAAGGAAATGTTTTACTGTTAATCTTTTTCTCCAGTGTGTTTGATTTAGTAGGGGATTTACCCTATATACAAGAAACTTCTAATGATGAAAAATAACTACTGAATACTTTTAAAAACAAATTCCTGTGCTGCTAGGGAAAAGGTGATCTATTATTAGAAGCAAGTAACTGATAGAACTTTAAAGGCTTACATTTCCTTTCATCTTAATCCACCTTAGTAATATAAAACCAAATATGATTTCTTTATCAGAATTGAGTTAACAATTTTCAAATGAAACTTCCAGTTCCTGACTACAAATAAGTTTCTTATCAGAATGAAACTGATAACCATGCAATAAAAATCTGTGTCTTTCTAAAACCTGAAGACTGTTTTGTGATTAAAGACACTGTAATGTTGAAATCAGTGCAGTCATATTAAATAACCCTTAAATCAGGATTTTATAATGGGATCATAGAAGTGTGGTTTTCTTTGGTGAGGTATTATTCATCTCATTTACTATAGTGATACTGCATAATGACACTTTAAAAAAAAGAAAAAATCCAACTCATGTTTGGTTGGAAAGGGGGTAATTTGCTTGCTTGTTTTATGTGGGGAAAAAATCCGATAGGGTTGTTTTCAGAAATAATTTTCTGGGAGAGCTGTTTTTTTAAATTGTCTTTGACAAAAAACAGTAAAATTTGAAATTAAAATTGTAGAATCTTTTCTTTAGAGATGCTGAGTGAGCCCTAGGAAATAATAAAGAGCCTGTTTTTTTATCTAGTGTAAGTACGTTAGGCCCTAGGGCCTCAGGAACTGGAAAAGGTTGCTGAGATCTGGCCCAAGAGCAGTTACAGAAAGGTGTGAGGAGGATGGTACTGGGTTAATTAGAACTAAGTAGTATCTTTGCTCACTTAAAACCTCAGGATCTACCATTTTATGAGAATGCAAAACTAGAGGGGTTTGTTGTAGAGGTAATATTTTTGTTTTGTATGTTTTATTTTTACTTTTAATAACTCACCTAACTAGCCTGAGATTATCAGCAAGTTTCGGGATGTCTGTGATGTCCTCCTATGGATAATCAGGAATAAGTTTAGTACAATGCACTCCGTAAATGTCTGATAACTCTGGTAAGAAATCGGAAATCAAGTAGGTTCATCAGAGTCAATGAATGTGACACATTGAAAGCAATTCTGGGTTCTAAAATGACATACCAAAATATTACTTGCTTTTCCACCTTGTAATGTCACTTCCAGATTAGAAAGTGCAGCTTCTACTTCATCTACTTCTGATTCACAGGTGAAATTTTGTGCCTCCGATGACAATGATAATTTGCTTACATGGTACTGAAATAGAACAATAAAAATCAGATTTTTGAGGGCAAATTCACTTCAAATATGATTAAAATATCAATCAGCAATATTGACAATACAGTCATTGATCTTTGAAGTCTTGGTCAACTGTGTAAAGTCCTACAGTAAAACCTTATTTATGTCTTGTTACCCACAGTCAGGTTATAGGTCATGCTGAGTTATTTTGCTCTACTGCAGGAGTAATGCAATAGTTCTCATGTTAAACTTACATGTATTCTGCAGCATCCTAGCTTTTCACTGTGCTAAACTTTTCTTTCTTTCTTTTTCCCCACTGTTACCAAAATATATACTTATATCATTGGATTTTCAGGAAGAACACGAACACAGGAGATGGTGGTACTCGGTATGGTGAGCATCATGTCAGAGTAGTCTCTTCAAAACAGACTTGTATCAAAATTATACTCATGTATAATTTTATACGTACATCTTGCTTTAGACAGTGTTAGTGAATAGTTCTACAAAATGTATGTTTCATACACTCATAAAAGTAAGTCCCCAACCTAAGCAGAACTCTTCCTATCATTGTCCTGTCCCAGCTTGTGCCTGCCTCTTGAGAAAACAGGTTTTGCAACTTGGATCAAGTACATGCCTGTAGTGCAGCGAAGATCAGCATCTCTTCCTCTGTGCAGTCAATTTCTTCCAAAAGGATGGCCCAGCGGGCTTGTTCATATATCTGGTTTATTCGCACTGCATCATACTGTAGCAGAAAAGCACAATGTAGTCATTTAAGACCAAAAAACGTGTCCTGGTGGCCGGCTGCAGCTGATCTAACATTGGGCTGAAGCCATAAGAGTCATTTCCTTCCTCCCTCCCACCTTTGCCCTGCTGTAATGTTCTCATCTTTCTCATGTGATTGTGCACAGATTCAGAGTGACTTGCTGATACAAAAGAAAATTGTTGAGGGGCTCTTGTTTGAAGTGGGAGGAAGTCAGGACATCCCTTTTTGTGGTAGCCGTTCTTAGACTGGCTTAGTGTAAAAATAACGTAACATGGCTGAAGGGATTTCCCAGCTTGCTGCCACCAATGCACAGAAATCTTTTTTCCTCCTTTCCCCTCTCTTGCTCTTGTCTTTTTGGCTTTGGCCCTATCCTTGCACTAGTTTGGCATTAGACAGATCCTGCTGTGAACTGATTTCACTCGCTACTCATTCCTCCCCACCTTGGGGACAAATATATGCTTGGCTAATAAGCTGAAGTGACTCACAGAGATATTCAAGCCCCAGAGCTGGTGCAAGGTAGGTGATAGAGGATGAACCTGGCCGTGTGATCTCTCCTTCTATAGTGGTGACTATGAAGTAGCCTTTGGTAATTTCATCCTATGGCTTCTTTACTGTCTGGGATAATGAATTAAATAGTTTGGGTTGCCGAAGTTGAGGAACCTGTTAGATTTTCAGTAGAGATGGCATTTCATCCAAAACTTTCACTTGCCTAAGAAAGTGCCATTCTTGTTATCTGAGATACCCAAAATGAAACAATTAACACAGACAGTAATAATGCTAAATCCTCAACTGATAAAAATGGTGAACATAAAATTCACATCAGAACTCTTACTGATTTATGCTGGTCAATGATCAGGCTTTAATTTCACTAAAAATGCCACTCAGGCATTAAAAACGCTGGTTTAACAAAACCACAGTAACTGACTTAGTGGAAATAAGGATAAGAGAGAGGCAACTTTAGAGAAGAGTTTAATTATTTTTTGAAACCTAAGTCTGGTTTTCAAAAGGGTCCTAAGCATTTGAGCTGAGCTTTCCAAAGATACTCAATCAGTTAGATCATTCAGTTATATTGCTGTTTTGGAAGAGATTTGATTTAGGTGTCTTAAGTATCTCCCAAGGCTTGAGCCTGGAAAAGCCAAATCTCACAGAAGGGCAGTGGCATGTAAGTGCCATTTTAAAGTTTATTTTCAAAAATAGGATGTATATCTTTATATCTTTTCAGATACTACTAGTTAAGGTTTCCCCTTATTTTTTCTTGTTGAAATAGAGACTAAACCAGGCCCCCAGGAAATCTGGCCACTGTTTCTGATCCTCATTAGATCTCGTCTTTATACTTAGGAACTTATTTCAGGTGGAGATGGTGATTCACTATCCAGAGGAGAAGAGCACAGACTTAGCTGAAGGGAACAAGTTGAATTTGATCTCTGAATAGCCCATAACAAATCCTAGCCAAAATTCAGGATCCTTGCCTTGCGTAAGATGAAAGGAGGTAAACAGTGAGTAACAATAAAAACAAAGCTCTTACTTTTGGATTCAAATCAAAGAAAGTGTAATATTTAAAGCGTAAAAGAAGTTGATCATCCTCCAAAATGCCTTGTTCCATTAGTGATCGAGATGAATCTAGCCAACTGCAGAAGAAAACAACCCAAAAAATCATTTGTACAGGAAAACTATCACACTTGCAGAGCTCCAATGTAATGTGAAACAAAGGTAAGAATGAACAGCTCTAATTCCTGCAAGCCTGAGTAAAATTATACAATTCAAAAAAGCAGAACATTTGGTGCACGAACACCATACCTTAAATCTCTCTAATATTTCTCCAACACTAGCCAAAATCTTCTCTTTCAGGAGTAGATGCCAGAAACAGAGCGGAGGGTAGTTGTGGGACAATCTGCCAAAAGATTCTTTCTTCTTGACCTCCAGAATGGGAAATTAACTTAAGCCAAGGTAAAAATGCTCTTGTATCTTTAGAATTACTGTTTTTTTTTTTTATCTCAGAGTTTGCTGTTTTATAATAGTAGCTACTTTTGTTAACCAGTGGAACCCAATTAGAATGTTGAATTACTGTTAAATGCTCCAAAGATCTAAAAAATAGCAATCTGTGTTTTAATGCTAAAGAGAAAATACTCTCAAAGAATTGCACCGTTAACCCCTAGTGCTCTATATTCTTCTGGGAGGTACAATAGACAATGTTTGCTTGTGCATAATTAAAGAAATCACCTATTTGTATTGTATTAGTGCTTACTGCTGTTATCCACATGTGTAGTTCCATTGCCCATTAAAACCTTTCCGAATTTGCTGCCCAAACTGACCTTGAGCTGCTACTCACTTCAGTGGATTTGCCTTCATCTAGCAAAGGAACTTAATCCAGAGTCTACACAATTATATTGGCAAACTTGTCTCACCAAGAATGTTGCTTACAGGAAAAGAATCAGAGAGTAACAGATTTCTGAGATGTTTTAAAGTAGCAATATAGCATAATATCAGGCTCATGTCTTCAAATTCTGCTCAGCACTTCTCAGAAAGCTGGATTAACGGCACCCCATATAAGCCATCTCATAGAGATATCAGAGAGAAGCCTCCTTACCCTGCATTAAGTTTTGCTTTGTCAGCTAAAGTCCGAGGCTGATACATCTCTGCTAGTGTTTCGGGAGAACAGTTGAGATGACTGAAGGCGAGGACGCTGCAGTTCTGCTCAGTCAGGGGACTGTCGCTGAACCAAGTCATTGTGGAAGAAGCTGGTGTCCCACTGACAGGATCGTAAGTAGGTGTCATGGTTCTACTGTATAAACCTGGACTTGCTGCAAGTTAAAACAGTAACACATTATTCCAAAGCACATGACCTTCAGACTTAGGTAGTCTGTCCCTTCCCAGCATAAAAGACCCTTTCCTCGCAATACACTTTCTTGCCTTTACTGTTTGCAGTAGGCCTTGCCCTTTGATAGAGGAAGTACCCTCAGAGATGAAAGAGCTTTTCCTTGTTCTGTGAGATATCCCAGATTGGGTGACGAAAGGAGACTTATTTCCAATTCTGTATTTTTGCTTCTCCTTTCAGGTTGGCAGAATTGTTGAATAGTTTAAAAGTAGCCTCATACTTTCAAAGAGCAGAAGCAAATACCGTGCGTGACCACTGTTAATAATCTGTTTTCTGGTGTGCCCTTTCATATACCAATGGAAAGGAAAACATTACCCCTCCAGGAAAATACTAATACTAGAGATTTCAGTAATTTTGGGGAGCTGTTAATTTCAGGTCCACTGTGTCTCTCTGACCTCCATTCTACACGAGACTCTTCTCTCCTGTTTTAAATTGGATCAAAGAATTTCTTCCTCCTTTTGACCATCAATCAGAAGAATTGAATGACACGAGTTTTTCATTACCTGGCAATCCAGAAGTCACTGGAGAGTTGCACAAGTTTAAAATATCTTCTGTAACTGGTTCTTTGCCATTCTTGTCTTTTTTCTTTTTCTTTTTAAGGACTTCTTCTGATTGCCTCAACAAAGAGAGTTCTTCTGACCGTCTGATATCTAAAATTTCGGTTCAGGAATTGAAGTAAGAGAAAACCTTTAAAACTCAGAAGTTCATAGTCAAAAAGACCAGTTGATAAAAGCACTTGGGGAAGCTCCAAATTGCCATCTGAATCTTATTTTTAGCAGGTTGAGAGGACTACCCATTTTAAAACAACAGGTAGTGAGAACAAGTGAGAACAGACACAGAACTACCGTATTTTAAGAACATGCCTTTTCTTTTTCAGTTAAGAATTTTACTTTTTGCCTATAAGACACTGTCTTGGTAATGTACTATTCCCTAATACACTGCTGTTTTAGACCTCTACTGTCTATTGCATGCCTGCTACTTTGTTTCTGAATGATACTGGTAAACCTGCAGTGAGCAAAGACATTTTTTTGACATGGGAAGTACGCAGTTCCTGTACTTAGAATAAGTAAAGTTTCTTCAAACTGGAAGAAAAATGCAGGCAGAAATATTTAATTCAACCAAATTTCAGTTGAAAGTACATTACATCATTTCATCATAGCTGCTGAGTGTAATAAAGATGTACCATCCCTTTTCCAGTACATTACTAGAAGATGAAAGGTGCATTGTGGTAAACACGGCTTGAGGTGCTAAATTCAGCTCCTTCTGAAGCTGAATGTCTTAACAGGCTAAGATTTGAAGATCTAAATTAAAAGTTGGATTAAGTGTACTCTAAAATTAAAGGATTCTGAAGATTGTTTGCAGGCTCAACTTAATCCATTGGTTATAGGCACACAGGTCTAGCTGATTTCAAAACCTAATCTCTGCTTGGAGGCACTCCATGCCAGGACTGGCAGAGACATGTGGGCTCATCACTACAAAACACACATGGGATTCACCTGCATATGTCGCAAACTGAAGAGGTTTGGAAGTATCCTGGACATGCAGGCACACTCCTGCAGTAAAGCAGTAGACCAAGCTGAGTATCATATTATTGATATAATGCTAGTGAAACTTCAACTGATGACACCCAAGAAATTGCCTGTGCTAGAAGCTGGTGAAGGAGGCAAGTCAGCTCTTTGCCTGCAAAGCCATCACCAGGACTTGGACAATCCAGCACTCCTAGGGCCATGGGACACATTTCTAAGCATGGTTTGCATCAAGGTCATTGCACTGATTGAGAGCCACTGATAGGTGCTGCATATTGAAAACAAAGGCTGTCTTTTGATCCCAGATCAACTCAGTCAAATTTCTCCTTGAGCTAAACAGTTTTGAGGGAGTAAGAATTTCACCTCAGGCAAAGACACCTAACGAAATGCTCAAATGTAACTTCAGGAAGGGATTTAACTTTACTTACTGAGAATTTTGCAGATGTCACTGACAGCTTTGAATACTACAGAAGAGAAGCTGACTTTCAGTCTCACGGTCTTCATGTTTGGCAAGCGAAGCCGCAGCATTTTGTGCTGAGTAGTGAAGAACAGCTTAGCATCTGCCTGCACCCCACATTTATCCAGTGTCCAGTGGGTTTTCAGAAGCCAACATTTTCTCTGCTCCCACCAAAGAGCATAATCTGACCAATCCTGTGATATTTCTAGCAAAATGTTTAAAAAAAAAGTGTTAATAAGCTATAGAGCAAATATACTCAAAAATTTGGCTTGGAAACAGTGAGGAGGGGAATGGAATAGGTAACATATGGTACAGTACAGTAAAAAGGTCTTTTAATAGTCTGTGCAAGAGAACAAGTTGGTGTGACCAAGAAAGGGCTGAAAAGGCCCTTCCATCAACTTTGAGCCTTTTAAAAATGTCTTGTGCAGCTTTTTCTTTTTTTCCCTCACACGAACGCACAAAAAAGGCAAAATAAAATCTTTTATTTGGCAGTAAGGGCACTAAAATTAAATGGCTGAATTAAGAATTCTTGAGACTGTTTTGCTGAAGTGTTTTCTTATAATTCAGTTTTTCTCTTGTTTTTCTGAAAGAAAAACCATTTAAGAAAGATTAAGTTTCAAGGAATTCTTTTGACAGTCAAATAAACATAGTTTGATTTATGTTAAAGAAAAAAATATATTTTTTATTAAATGCACTCTTAAATATCCTAGGTTTTTTCAGCTGAGGGGAGTGAAGTACTGTTTGAACAGCGAGAAGGTCAATAGCATCTACGATGGTATTTGAACAACAACAACAAAAAAGCAGGTGGAGGGAATACAATGGACTTTATTGTCTTTGATTTTTCCCTATCCTTTCACCTGCTTCAGTAGCTGAGGCTTAATAATCCAGTAACTGTCAAACTGATATGACTTTTGCTCTACTGCCACTATCTCATCAATCATCTGGGAAAAGAAATGAACAAACCGCAAGGCTGCAGCCTGTGGAAGGCAAGGGTGCAAGCCTGCAGCATATCTGCCTCGACCAGGCTTCCTCCAGCACTGTTGTATTTACTTCATGGCAGACACTGATCTCCTGTGTTTGGAAGGCAGGCAGAGCACACAAGCTTCAACACATCATGCAGAATGCTTATCAAAGTGACTAGAGGAGATGGTAACTGCACCACAAGTTATGATGACTGATGGAATAAAAAGGGAAAAAATACGGGAAAAAGAAAATGGAAAGTCTAACAGTGGTTACCATGTAAAATGATTTCTGCATTAAATACTCTTTCTTTCCCCAAATCTGTTATTTCTAGAGATATGAATGGGATCATGGTGTTCATACTTGAAGAGTCTGACCTAACAGACAGCTCTCCCTTTCTATGTGTAGCTGGTGACTGAAGATTTCTAGATTTAGGAACTCCAAGAAAGAGAACGATAGTTGTAAAAATAAGTAGCATGTGAAAACCCAGTGTCATTGACATAATAATCAAATCCTATGCCATCTTAAATGTATCTGTCATTCTGCAGTGCATTTTATTTTGGCAGGCACCTCCATTTGGCTTCTTTGAGTTTGAAAAAAATAGTGCTTCTAGGAACCTCCTGCTGCCTCTGCAGCTGAGCTGCTGTTCCTGCACTCACGATATTTTACCTTTTATCTCCTAACTTTAATTCAGCCATTCTGTGCTCTGAGAGCCACTCTGTGCTCTGCGTATATGTCCTCTACTGGATAGCTTCATAGTAGATTAACTAACCATGGTTAATGTGGCTCTGATTTTGACTACAGTAGCACAGTAACCAATAACAACTTCTGAAATGTCCATGTAACAATTAATACTTTCTCTACATAACTGCTACAGATGGATACATTTCTTTTATTCCTCCAACTAGTTAGGTATAAAGGTGGAAAGGGAGTTGGAATAAATAGTTTAGTCCAACTACGATAATTTTCTAACTGGAGAACAAAAAGAGGTAAAGTTTTATTTATATTGCGATAGCAGAGGCGTTTCAGTCATAGACAAAGGTTCTGTCCACGCCAGCCTGGTGTACACCTACACCTGGAAATAAGTGAGGCAGAGCCATTTCAAAATGAGCAGGAGCCTTTATTTTTAGAGGAAAAGCTGCATGTGTTATTTTAATGTGTATGTGTGTAAATTAAACAGGTCTTTACTCACTAATTCGTTCTACTAATTTCAGCATCACTCCTCCAATATGAAGATCCCCTGAGACCTGTAGTGTAAATTCCTTTTGCACGGCTTCATACTGATGATCGACTATCACCACCAGGTCCCAAGAATTGGACCCATATGCACTTGAGGAAATCATTTCTGGTAATGCCTGGATAAGCTCTGCAGGAGATAAAAAGAAAATTTTTTTTTTTCTTCAGATCCTTGAAATAAATTTATCTCACCGAAGTCCCAAAACACTTCCCTGCTGTGAAGACTTCACAGTGGCCTTGGCTGAAACGACGGATGGGGTATCTTGTTACCTCTGTACTAGACACAGCTTTTGTAATTACTCTTGCAAGACAGGAATGTGTGATTTTTTTGTTTTGTTATTATTCTGAATGTTTTGGAGTTTTTTTCCTATCTCCAGTTGTCTTTTTGGGTAGAAATAGCCCAATTTCACTCAAGTTTCCCCACTCTTCAGTGCTGGTCTGGCATTTGGGACAATATAAAGCCTGCAGTTCACTGTCCAGTGAACAGAACAGCTTCACTGATTTGTACCCTTATTTTCCCTGTGAATAAAAGTTTACAGTTGCAGCAAAGGCAGATTAATTCTGCCAGCTTACAAAAGCAGAGTAGTTTATCCTTTTGGGTGGATCTGAAGAGAAACAAAATGTTAATGGCTCTGTGTTAATTCAAAGGAGAGTCTGAATGGGGAGCAGGAAATAAGAACACTTAAGAGATGGAAAAAAAAAACCCAAGAAGTGGTGTTAGGAGTTAGGAGGGACCAGCTGCCTGCAGGGAGTTGGAGTCTGGGGAAAAAGATGTGATCCAGGGAACTCTGCAGTAGAAGGACAGCACCAGCCTTCTGCAGTGCACTGCTGGTCCAAAAGGCTCCTGGAGACATTAAAAACTTTGGGGCACCCAATTGCAGCTCCTGCAGTTGCAGTCTGTGTGCACAGAGATGCAAGCATGTGTCCTGTCCCTGCAGGGGGACTTGTCTGAAATCCCAGCAGGTTTCTGCTGGCGAGGTAAGCAGTAATCATGCCAAGCCAAACTACAAAAGATGCTCAAAGCAGAAGCTCTGATTATCATCTGTAGATTTCTGCTAATTACTGAAGAAGGAGCTTCAATAAGGTGAATGATGCTGTGTTATTTAATCATCAAGAAAAGAGACCTGGTTCCTTCAGCTGTCACATTAAATTGAACCCTAAGAAATGAACCTTTACAGCTAAAGGTCAAGCAGTGAAGTCCATGGTCTCAACTTGCTGCAGACTTTCAGTGGCATCTAGGAGCCCAAGTGACAAAGACTCTGGTAAGTGAAGTACAAATGTAGACTGTTTCATATATATATATATAAAGCATATGTTTGCAAAGAAAGCTTAAAGGGACATTAATAATGTTATGAGACTTATGTAGCTCTTTTTTTTAAAAAAGTATTTAGTAAGTTAAAACCATTAGCCTAAAATTTAGCTCAAAAAGAATCAAGCGTCATGGTCACAGATGGGAGTAAGAGAAGAAATGATCTTTGATAGGACTGGCCACAGAAAAAAAGACCAGACTAGCTTAGGTTACAATAATGTAAAGTTAAGCTAAAGGTTAAATCCAGCATGCCTAGAAACAAAATGAAAATTTAAATCCACCTATTTACCCAGCTGATAATGCTGAAGCTTTGTTATTGATAATAAAAAGGGGTTATTGGTGCCAAAAGATACTATGCAGGCGGAGCCCAGTTCAAGGTTCATTTCAAGATTCCCATCCAGAGGAACAAAGAGGCCCTTTCAACTAAACAGCCAAACTGTGTTAGCCAAATCTTCTCCAGACTTTGGGATGTTATTGATGTTTTTTAACATCTTAATGGTCAAGAATTTCTACAGTAAGACTTTTCTTATTTTGTTGTGTTCAGTACAGATACAGTATTTGTATCACAGTTGTCATTTATGTTGTGTTCTATCTAACCATTTTGCTGAAGTTCTTTCTAAGATCTGTTCCTAGGATACTGATGTTCTAGATCTGGTTCCTTGAACTCCTCTGGTTCTAGGTCATACCTGATGGCCCTACTGATGTAAAACTGGGTATCAAAGGGCTAATAGAAGTGTGCTGGTAATCACTAATCCTTCTACTAAGGAAAAGTGGCTCTAGAGGTGAAGGCAATGGACATGTGTCTCCCAAAGATGTGAATGATCCCAAAGAAATGAAGGACAATATAAATGAAACAACACACAGAGCTCCAAACCATCCTTTTAAGGAAAATCACTAGCAGTGTCAGAGTAGTGCTCTGTGTGCTCTAACTTCTAAAACCATTTTGACTTATGCAGAGCTCTAACTCTGAAAATTGAAACTTAATGACCACAAGAGACTAACTTACAGTGGAGGAGAATAGTTAACTATGTTCGTCAGTGGGGAGTCTACACCTTTTCACCAAATAGCTACCTAACCAACAAAGGTTGATGCTTATCCAAGAAGTTTGTTTTGCCTTGGTGAAAAAAGCCAAGACTTTGGCGGACACTAGTGTTGGACCCTAGAAAACACCATGGCTCAACTATTTCTAGGATAGAGCTGGGATGATGAATTTGGGCAGCTTGGCACCATGTGGATTTACAGGCTCTGAGACACCTTACACCAGGGGTGAGGGGCTGCACCATGTTCCGCAGCAGCGTGAGGAGACTCGGCTGCTGAGCACGTCGCCTGGGCAGACGAGGCCTATGGCATGTGGGCAGTAGGATGTGTGGAGATTGGTTGTTGTTGTTATGTTTTATTCATAGCAATTTTTTTAAAAAAATGGCTTTAGTCATGCCCTGAGCATCAATAGCAGCACTAAAAATCAGTCAATCATTTGGCCTAAGCATGAGAGCTGTGGGATTTCACTTCAGGAGCACAGAAACTGCACAGCAGCCAAGCAACCATACATTTACTGTTTGCCATAAGCCCATATTGTTACTGAACAGAAACAGTCTCATCTGCCCCCTTGTGCCAGTGAAAACAGTTTGGAACTGTTTTTTTTTTTTTTTTTTTAATTTAAGTTTCCTAATCCAATTCTGCATACAAATGCATGTGCTGACATGGGTAAAAATGAACAGCCCAAGGGGTGGGTGAAACCATTTCTTTCATTCATGTTGCTGTTTATAGGGCTTGGAAAACCATAGCCCGAGAGCAGCTAATTCTGGCACTCCAGTAGCCCCTAAAGCTGCCCTCTTCCCTCACTTCCTTTCAAAACCAGAAGGTTCAGTTTGAAGATAAGAAAACACAAACACTAGTAAATCTATCGTAGAGCGCAGCACAGACAGACCCCGGTCTGGAAAAAGCAGCAAGCCACTCGCTGCTGTGTATTTAAAAACCAAACCAGGGCTTCGCGTCTGCGGACCTTCGCATCAGGCCTGGACCTGCCCTGGCCCACGGTGTGAGCGAAGCTGCACAGCCTCTGCACACAGCAGCAAGGCCAGAAACGCGCCCTGGGGCCACTGCTCCCTCTGGGCTTCCACGGAGCACCTTGGCCGACACGGATACAGAAAAGGCACGTTTTAACAGGGGACTCTGGTGGAAATACAGGACGGCGTTATTCATACTAGAGCAAGAAAAGATCCACTTTGAGGTAAGTGGAAAGGGGAAGCAAAGTGCAACACTGTGTTCTCTGAATATTTCTGAGACCTGTAGCACCTCCTTGGTATTTTCCACACGAGATGCGGGGAGCCGCACAGTCCTAACCCTGACCACTGCCTCAACCCCGGCCCTCCGGTAGGCGGTCCCGGCTGCGAGCCCCGCTTGAGGAAGCGCCGCGGTGACACTGCGGCCACGGCCACGAGGGGCCCGAACAGGGCGGCGAGGGAGCGGGTCAGTCACGGCGACCAAAAGAGCACGCAAAAACGAAAGGAAAAGGGGAAGAGGAGGCTGTCCTGTTTTCCTCCCCTGCGCCGTCCTCTCGCACGGCCCCGCACGGAGGGGCAGCTCAGTCCCGTCCCGCCGCCCTCGCTCGCTCACCCGCTCGCGGCGTCCTGCGGCAGCGCCGTCCCTCGCCTCCCCGCGCGGCCCCTGCTCCCTTCGCC